ACGTGACACATTCACTTATTTACTCGTTGTCCGTTCTGCCACACACATATTTCACCCAGTAGATGCGAACAATGCAATTATCCCTGTGGATGTAAAGATAAAGGAAAGTGGGAGACGGAAGCTCAATCGCACACGACAGCGAGAATACATTTACGATGCAGTCCTACGGCTGTTTTCCTAATTGTTATGCGTACTGTCATGTGCTATACGAATGCATTGATGGGGTTCATTTATAATAAGGTTTCTTTGTTTATCTGTATGCACACCGCGTCCAACTGCTGTAATAAATGTAATTAATTGGTTTCTGGTGCTTCGTACATGTGGTAATCCTCTGTAGGTTTCATCACGTGTAGAGTTTGTTTGTATAACTTCTCCTGTTTGACGGCGACATCGTGCCTCATAAAGGAAACACATAATCACTCCACAACAATGTTTAAGCCTCTGTTGCATTGAAATTAAAATTCTACTGAGCTGTGTAAAACTATCAGAGATTAACTGATAAATAAACTGTGTGACAAGATAATGCTGTCAAACATACAGCATGTTGTCTCAGAAATAAACCAAATCAACTCTGTAGTGAAGTAACTAAACTGTTAACAGATTTTAGGACTTTAGTGGGATAAAATCGTGCACCTGTACGCTCACAGATATGATGTAACGCTGCACACACACACACAGAAGGTGACAGAGGCCTCTCCTTCACCTGAGCTCATTGCCACAGCAGCGATTATCCCGCAGAGTTCGGCCCGCAGGTCAAAGAGCTGCTGTCACCGCTTCAATAAAGGCTGAGCAGCAGAATGATGGACGCGTGTTATCTCCATCGTGATGATCCCAGCCTGCTGGTCTCAACCTTGATGCATAGAAAACAAGGTCACACACACGCATGTACACAACCATGTCCGTGACAATTAATGCAGCACACTGTCGAACCAAACGATGATGGTAATACTCGTCCCTTCGGTTTGATGGAGGCGCAGAGAACCGCCACTTATCTGCAAATTAAACAGGAGCAAAACTGTTTTTCTTCATTGTGAACACAAAAGGCATGAAGATTTCAATCAGTGTGACAGTGACAGAATCCACACACACACACAGCAACAGAAATAACACACAGCCATCCGTTTTCATTCATGCGTCCTGCTGACGCTCTTATCAGGAACAATTAAACGTTTAAAAGGGACGTCGCCACAAATTGCCATTTAATTAATTAGCGCTGCGAGAAGCCCACATTACAAGTAATCTGTCAGTAAGAAAGTCGCTACAGGCGACAACATAATAATCAGGGCTGGAAATTATTTTTCAGAAGCCAAGGCAAATGAAGAGATAATCTAATGCAGAGAATATGAGATGATTTTTAGCCACGCTCGCGGCGTCACACTGGAGATGACAATGTCAGTGTGACGGTAGGTCCACCAATTTGTACCAGACTGAAAAAGATCAACAACTATTAGATGATTTGCATGAAATTTTGC